GTCGCGGGGGCGTTGACACCCGGAACGCCCTCCATGTAAGAATATTTTGTTCCTGAAATACGGATTAAAGTAAAATATTAAACCATGTGGCAAGAGGTTTGGGGTTAAAAGATAAAGAATCAAACACAAAGTGGGAGTTGTCACAGTTGCTCTTTGATGATGACACTGTGCTTTTGTGAGATTCTGAAGAGAAGATGCAGAGGTTGGTGGATGAATTTGGTAGAGTATGTAAGAGAAGAAAATTGAAAGTGAATATAGGAAAGAGTAAGGTGATGAGGATAAAAAAAATAGGTAACGAAAGACTGGATATCAGATTGGAGGGAGAGAGTATGGAGGAGGTGAATGTATTCAGATATCTAGGAGTGGACGTGTCAGCAGATGGTCCTATGAAGGATGAGTTGAATCATAGAACTTATGAGGGGGAAAAAGGTGAGAGTTGCACTAAGGAGTCTGTGGAGACAAAGAACTTTGTCCATGAAAGCAAAGAGGGAAATGTGTGAGAGTATAGTTAAACCAATGCTCTTATATGGGTGTGAAGCATGGGTGATGATGTTGCAGCGAGGAGATGGCTGGAGGCAGTGGAGATGTCATGTCTGAGGGCAATGTGTGGTGTGAATATAATGCAGAGAATTCGTAGTTAGGAAATTAGGAGGAGGTGTGTGATTACCAGAACTATTATCCAGAAGGATGACTGGGTTTTGTGTGTGAAGGGGCTTGGACTTCCAGCAAGCGTGCATGAGCGTATTTCATAGGAATGAATGGAGGCAAATAGTTTTTAATATTTGACGTGCTGTTGGAGTGTGAGCAAAGTAACATTTATGAAGGGATTCAGGGAAGCCGGTAGGCCGGACTTGAGTCCTGGAGATGGGAAGTACAGTGTCTGCACTCTGAAGGAGGGGTGTTAATGTTGCAGTTTTGTAACTATAGTGTAAAGTACCCTTCTGGCAAGACAGTGAGGGAGTGAATGATGAAAGTTTTTCTTTTTTGTGCCACCCTGCCTTGGTGGGAATCGGCCGATGTGTATATAAAAAAAATATTCATATATATTATTTATTTATTAACACATCGGCCGTTTCCCACCAAGGTAGGGTGGCCAGGAAAAAAAAACTTTCACCATCATTCACTCCATCACTGTCTTGCCAGAAGCGTGCTTACACTATAGTTATAAAACTGCAACATTAACACCCCTCCTTCAGAGTGCAGGCACTGTACTTCCCATCTCCAGGACTCAAGTCCGGCCTTCCAGTTTCCCTGAATCCCTTCATAAATGTTACTTTGCTCACACTCCAACAGTACGTCAAGTCCTAAAAACCACTTGACTCTATTCGCTCTTATCTAACACGCTCACGTATGCTTGCTGGAAGTCCAAGCCCCTTCACACACAAAACCCAGTCATCCTTCTGGATAATAGTTTTGGTAATCACACACCTCCTCCTAATTTTCTAACTACGAATTCTCTGCATTATATTCACACCACACATTGCCCTCAGACATGACATCTCCACTGCCTCCAGCCTTCTCCTCGTTCCAACATTCACAATCCATGCTTCACACCCATACAAGAGTGTTGGTACAACTATACTCTCATACATTCCCCTTTTTGCTTCCATGGAAAATTCTTTGTCTCCACAGACTCCTAAGTGCACCACTCACCCTTTTCCCCTCATCAGTTTTGTGATTCACCTCATCCTTCATAGACCCATCTGCTGACACGTCCACTCCTAAATATATGAATACATTCACCTCCTCCATACTCTCTCCCTCCAGTCTGATATCCAGCATTTCGTCACCTAATCTTTTTGTTATCCTCATAACCTTACTCTTTCCTATATTCACTATTAATTTTCTTCTTTTACATACTCTACCAAATTCATCCACCAACCTCTGCAACTTCTCTTCAGAATCTCCCAAGAGCACAGTGTCATTAGCAAAGAGCAACTGTGACATCTCCCACTTTATGTGTGATTCTTTATCTTTTAACTCCACGCCTCTTGCCAAGACCCTCGCATTTACTTCTCTTACAACCCCATCTATAAATATATTGAACAACCACGGTGACATCACACATCCTTGTCTAAGGCCTACTTTTAATAGGAAATAATCTCCCTCTTTCCTGCATACTCTAACATGAGCCTCACTATCCTCGTAAAAACTCTTCACTGCTTTCAGTAACCTACCTCCTACACCATACACCTGCAACATCTGCCACATTGTCCCCCCTAATCATCCTGTCATACGCCTTTTCTAAATCCATAAATGCCACAAAAACCTCTTTAGCCTTATCTAAATACTGTTCACTTATATGTTTCACTGTAAACACTTGGTCTACACACCCCCTACCTTTCCTAAAGCCTCCTTGTTCATCTGCTATCCTACTCTCCGTCTTACTCTTAATTCTTTCAATAATAACTCTTCCGTACACTTTACCAGGTATACTCGACAGACTTATTCCCCTATAATTTTTGCACTCTTTTTATCCCCTTTGCCTTTATTACCTGGAGTTTACCTGGAGAGAGTTCCGGGGGTCAACGCCCCCGCGGCCCGGTCTGTGACCAGGCCTCCTGGTGGATCAGAGCCTGATCAACCAGGCTGTTGCTGCTGGCTGCACGCAAACCAACGTACGAGCCACAGCCCGGCTGGTCAGGAACCGACTTTAGGTGCTTGTCCAGTGCCAGCTTGAAGACTTCCAGGGGTCTGTTGGTAATCCCCCTTATGTATGCTGGGAGGCAGTTGAACAGTCTCGGGCCCCTGACACTTATTGTATGGTCTCTTAACGTGCTAGTGACACCCCTGCTTTTCATTGGGGGGAAGTTGCATCGTCTGCCAAGTCTTTTGCTTTCGTAGTGAGTGATTTTCGTGTGCAAGTTCGGTACTAGTCCCTCTAGGATTTTCCAGGTGTATATAATCATGTATCTCTCCCGCCTGCGTTCCATGGAATACAGGTTCAGGAACCTCAAGCGCTCCCAGTAATAGAGGGGTTTTATCTCCGTTATGCGCGCCGTGAAGGTTCTCTGTACATTTTCTAGGTCAGCAATTTCACCTGCCTTGAAAGGTGCTGTTAGTGTGCAGCAATATTCCAGCCTAGATAGAACAAGTGACCTGAAGAGTGTCATCATGGGCTTGGCCTCCCTAGTTTTGAAGGTTCTCATTATCCATCCTGTCATTTTTCTAGCAGATGCGATTGATACAATGTTATGGTCCTTGAAGGTGAGATCCTCCGACATGATCACTCCCAGGTCTTTGACGTTGGTGTTTCGCTCTATTTTGTGGCCAGAATTTGTTTTGTTCTCTGATGAAGATTTAATTTCCTCGTGTTTACCATATCTGAGTAATTGAAATTTCTCATCGTTGAACTTCATATTGTTTTCTGCAGCCACTGATAGATTTGGTTGATGTCCGGCTGGAGCCTTGCAGTGTCTGCAATGGAAGACACTGTCATGCAGATTCGGGTGTCATCTGCAAAGGAAGACACGGAACTATGCATGCTCTCTGCCAATCCCTAGGTACCTTACCCTCTTCCATACATTTATTAAATAATTGCACCAACCACTCCAAAACTATATCCCCACCTGCTTTTAACTTTTCTATCTTTATCCCATCAATCCCAGCTGGCTTACCCCCCTTTCATTCTACCCACTACCTCACGAACTTCCCCCACACTCACAACTGGTTCTTCCTCCCTCCTAGAAGATGTTATCCCTCCTTGCCCTATACACGAAATCACAGCTTCCCTATCTTCATCAACATTTAACAATTCCTCAGAGTATTCCCTCCATCTTCCCGATGCCTCTAACTCTTCTATTTTTAACTGTCAAATCCATATACATACATACAATATAATATATATATATATATATATATATATATATATATATATATATATATATATATATATATTATATATATATATATATATATATATATATATATAATGAATTTAATATAATAAACACGAATCTATCGTTTCATGAGGCGTCTAGCATATACACGATAATCCTTGATCTAAATATTTCTGGTAGACAACCTTGGTGTGGACTTGTAAATCCTGTGCTGTCTGTCTTACCCATGTACTCCCGTGTATGTTAAACCACACTGGCATTACAGTGCATATATAAGTAATTTATATTTAGAAGTAAAACATTGTAAAATTTAATATAGTACCACAATAGAGATAAGCCACACTGGCTTGGCTTTCCTGGATTATTCTCCTTGTTAGTACTCCGAATTAAGTTTATTTAGGCACAGGTACACATAAGTACATTTATCATACATAGTCTTAGCGCTTCTTTTTTATTATAATAATAATATCATACATAGTGTAAATTACCTAGAATAACGCCAAAAAGTCTAAGTGACTTATTTCCATTATTGTCATTATATATACACAAAAGTAACGTTTTATGACCAATTACGCTTTACTAGTGAAAATAAATAAATCTCTTGAATACGAGAGCTAAAATCCGATGGTACTGTTTATTGTGTGGTTTTTTAAGCGTGGAATGAATGGTGTAAGAGCAGTGTGTTGCACTTCCTCCTGCTGCCCCACACCAGCCCTCTCCACTCACCCCATGTTTTAAACCTTTTTTTACCCATCAATTTCACTCTTCTGGGTGTTGCGAAATATGTATACCTCAATGTGATGACGTTGTTAGTCAACTGAACGCTTGTCTCAAAGTTTTCGCAGTTAGTCTTTGGTTAGAAAAATGAATTAATTGATGTTTAGCTACTCTGGGCCAGGTGGGAGGAAGCAGGTTTAAGGAGTGCCGGTGTTTATTTATCTGTTTTTTTCCGCTGAGTTTATAGCTTTAAGTCTCTTCCTATGAGCTGATAAACCGTAGGTCATTGTTTTATTTATTGGATGATGAGGAACGGGTTAATTCAAAGGAATAATAAGGGGAAATTCGCCAGGAAGGAGGCGGTGTGAGGTGCTGGTGGTGGATGGTAACAACATGGCTTGCAGCTCTCGGTCTGAGCTTCGAGGAATTCAGTGAGGTCAAAGCCATCTAAGGGGGTGGATATGTGTGTGCGTGTGTGTGCTGTCTAAAACATGTATTCCTGAAACTAATTACAGATTCGTGTGATAAACCCGTGGGTACCTTAAAGTGTATGATAGTGAGTGAATTGAGAGATGTAACTACAAGTGTACGGACGGACACCTGAGAAGAGAAGCTGGAGATTTCTCAAGAGGTAGGCTGCTCTCTTGTCCTAATTAGTCCCATGATAAATATCCTATTACATTTTTTTCATGTTCCAGGATACGGTATGGCAGCCCAGCGCCTACGTTCACCCGCACTGCAACAATAACCCGCACTTTTCGGCCGTTTTATCTGCAGTTTTTCTTGACGTGCCCGGCGCTCTGTCCATATAGTGGGGAAACTACTGTCTTATTTATCACAGGTGGATTCCTGGATGAGGCTTGGATCTTATGCGTCACTGACGCGAATACTTATGAGTAGTTTTTTAAAAAAAAATAGGTTAGAGAAGTACATAAGTGGGGGTGGTGGGTGTGAGTTACACCTGCCTAGCATGGCCTAGTTGACCTGCTGCAGTGCCCCTTCTTGTGTTGTATTGCTCATTGAGGTTATTAGTTACACAAGTATTAAGTGATCACAACTGTCATATATAGTTAGATAAGTGTTATTATCACTTTTTTTTACACGTCACTTTTGCAGGCTGAGAGTTATCATACCTCAGCTCATTTCAAAGCCTCAGCTCTATCTGAGGTGTACTGCCACCACCATCTCAAGGATGCGACCTACGCCAGTCGAATAACACCCAGGTACCTACTTACTGGTAGGTGAACGTGGACAGCAGGTGTAAGAAACACGCCCAATGTTTCCACCCGTAACGGGGATCTTACCACGGACGCTCAAGTGGGTGAGCTGAGTGCGCCACGGGCCCAGATGAGCGTATAGTGATCATGAGATTAATCTTTATTTCTACAAGTACATGTACAAGGTATACAGACCATAGCTGACATCTATGACATAGTACCGTATAGAAATCCTCTGTTATGCAGAGTATTTCGGGCATATTAGATTAGTTTTGTCCCCAGGATGCGGCCAACACCAGTCGACTAACACCCAGGTACCTATTTTACCGACAGATGAACACGGGTAGCAGGTATCTTAAGGAAACACGCCCTAATATTTCCACCCGTACCCGGGATCGAACCGTGGACCTCAGTGTGAGCCGAGTGCGCTACCAATCGAGTTTCGGGACACTGCCATCAGTGAGCAAATTTCAACCAGCTGACTGAACACAAGAGTAAATTAAACTTGAAATAAGTTTTATTTTCTTCAAACTATCTTTAATAGCCCCAGGTGACTATTCGATAGTGTGGCCCACAGGTGACTATTGGATGGTGTCGCCACAGGTGACTACTGAAAAATACATATAATCCCCGCCCCAGTGACCTTATTGGACAGTGTGACTCAGGTCAGCGTATTAACATGATGCAGTAATGTAAATATCACCTGACACCACCATCCCTGGCACATCTACGACCGTGTTCCTCCATTCTTGTGTTCTTGGAACTTCTAAACTCGGGTGATAAATTTGTCGGAGATTCCTAGGTGAAAAACAGACGGGCTCTACCCTGTATAAACAGAATCGTATGTATGCATGCATACACGTGTGAATTTATGCATGCGTGTGTGCATTTATATGTATGTATACTCGTATATGCTAAGGAATAGATGGTACAGTTCCTGTCTGGTCGCATTGTTGTTATTGGTTTAAACCACTCCTTCGTGAATATGAAATTAATATATATATATATATATATATATATATATATATATATATATATATATATATATATATATATATATATATATATAATATTTAATAAAATTCATTTTTAATAAATCATTTTTTATAATAAATAAAATTTTTTCCTTTTAAAATTTTCCCAAAATATTTTTAAAACCTAAAAATTTTTTTTACTTTTTTTTATATTAAAATTATTTAAAATAAACAAAATATATTTTTTTACAAAATAAAATTCTTTTTTATTAATTTAAAATTTTTTAAAAACATTTTTTTAAATTAAAAAATTTTTAATTAACTTTAATAAAAAATTATACTTTAAATATAAAAAAATTTCCAAAAATTAATTTTAAATATTTTTAATTAAGTTTAAATTAAATATATTTTTATATATATTTATTATATATTTTTATATATTAAAATATATATATATTTATATATATTATTTAAAATTATATATTTTAATTATTATTTTTATTATATATATATTTATATATTTTTATATATATTTATATAATTAATTATATATATTTATATTTTTAAATTTTAATTATATAATATTATATTATATTTTATATATTTTATCTATATATTATAATTTTTTAAAATTTTATATTATATATTATTTAATATAAATATATTTTAAAATTATTTATATCATATTAAAATTATAAAATTTATTATATAAAATTTTTTATATATATTTTTCTTTATATATATATTTATTTTTATTAAAATTTTTTAATATATATATTATTAATATATTATTTTAATATATTTTATATATATATATATATTTTGTATATTTTTATATATATATGTATATATTTTTTATATATATTGTATTTTATATTTTTATATATATGTATTTTATATTTTAAAATTTTATATATGTATTTTTTTATGTTTATATATTTTATTTATGTTTTATATATGTATATAAAATTGTATTTTAATTTATATATATTTTATATATGTATATATATATTTATATTTAAAATTTATTTATTTGTATATATATGTATATTTTATATATTTTAAAATATATTTTATATATTTTATATATATTTTATATATATATATATATATATTTTGTATATATTATGTTATATATATTTTGTATTTATATGTATATATTATGTTTTTTATATTATATATATATGTATATATATGTATATATTTGAAATAAATATTTTTTATTATATGAAATATATTTATTTATTTTATGTTATATTACTATATTATTTTTTTTTTTAAAAAGGGGGAATACCTTGGGGTTTAAAAAAAAGAATTTTTTTTAATTTATAAAATTTTTTAAAGGAAAGATTTATTTTAATTTGTAATTTTTATTTAATTTAAAAATTTAAAAAAATTTATTATTTAGGTATAAAGGAAAAAAAAAGAATAAGTTTTTTTAAAAAAAAATAAAAGAAAAAATTGTATATTTATTGGGTATTTAATGTTTTATAATTAATAGAATAAGAAAATTTACCTTTCTTCCTTTCATAACAGGGAACCACAAACCTCCAAAAGGAAAAACAAAATTTTTTCCCCTTTTATTTTTATTTTGGAGGAGGTATACCCCCGGGGGCCCGGTTTTAATTCCCTCTCCTTTTAATTTAAAAAACCCTTTCTTAAAAATTTTTTATTATAAAAAAAACAAAATAAATAGAAAAAAAAAAACCCAAATGTTTATATTTTTTATTATTTATTATAATTAAATAGATAAAATTTAAAAATTTTTGTTATAACAAAAAAAAAACCAAATTTTCCAAATTTAATTGTAAAAATTTTGGGTTTTTTTAAATTTGGGAATTAGTATTTTTAATTAACCTAAAAATAAAATATTTTATATTTTTATATATTTATTATATATATTTATATTTAATATATATTTAATATATATTATATATGTATATTTATTATATATTTTTTTAAATATTATATATTTATTTTTATTTTTTTTTATTTTGTATATATAAAAATTTTTTATTATTATATATATATATTTTTTATTATATTTTTTTTATATATATATATATTTTGTATTTATATTTATATATATAATTATATATATATATTTATTTTTTATCTTATATTTTTTTATATGTAATTTTTTAAAATATATATATATATTATTTTTAAAATTTTTATTTTTTATATTTTTTAATATATGTATTATATTTATATGTTATAAAAATATTTTTAGATATTTGTTTATATTTTTTATATTTTTATTTTATAGATATTATGTATTTTTATATTTATGTTTATTTTATTATATATATATATGTAAAATTTTATATTATTTAAAATATATGTATATATATTTTAAAAAATATTATATATTGTATATATTTTATATTTTATATATATGTATATTATATTTTATTATATGTATATTTATATATTTATATTTATTTTTTTATATATATATTTTAAAGATAATAAAATATTATATTTTTTTAAAATTTTATATATATATTATATTATTTTATATATATGTATATTTATAATTTTATAATATATTTTTGATTTTTTTTAAAATGTTTTATATTTTTGTTTATATATTTTATATTTTTATAATATTTTTAGGGTTATATATATTTTATATATATATTTTTTATATATGTTTTATTTATTTTATATATATATATGTATATATTATTTTATATATATGTATATATATTTATTTTATGTAATATTTTATATATATATGTTTTTTATATTTTATTATTTATATGTATATATTTTTTATATATTATATTTATTTTATATTATATTTTATTTTATATAGTATATATATATATTAATTTATATATATATATTTATATTATTATATATATAAATTATATAATTTATATATTTATATATATTAATATATATATAAAATTATTTTTTTTAATATATTTTTTTTTTTTTAAATAATTTTAATTATATATTTTAATTTATTTTTATATATAAAAAAGAAATTTTTTTAATATATATGTATATTTTTTGGTATATATATTTATATTATATTTATATATGTTTTATTTTATATATATTTTTTGTAAAATTTTTATATAAAATTATTTATATAATATATTTATATTATATAAAATATTTTTTTTTATATTTAATATAAAATATATATTTTTATATATATATTTTTTTTATATATATATTTTTTTTTTAAAAATAATTTTTATATATATTTATATTTTTATGTTTTTTTATATATTTTTTAATAAAAATTTTTAAAATATATATATATATAAATATTTTTTAAAATTTGATATAAAAAATGTATATTTATTATTATAAAATTATATATATATTTTTAAAATTTTTTATATTTTTAATTAATATATATATATTTTATGTATATTTATTTTATTTTTAATATGTATAAATTATTTATTATATATTTATAT